TATCAACGGAAAAAATATCCTAGATGAAGATTAATGAACTAAACAAAACAGTGGGTGCAGTCTTGCTGTGGGGGTGGGCCAGGGCGCTCAGTAGCGTGTGTGTGCATGCGTGTGTGCACACGTGTGTGCGTGTGTGCATGTGTGAGCACGCCGTGTGTACGTGAGTGCATGCGCTGTGCTGGTGTGGAGGGAGAAAACCCGAGTGGCTCGCCCTCAGAGCTCCGGTCTGACCCTCGGCTCTGCAGGCCCAGGGACCCCGTTCGCCCTGGGTGCCCCGGGGCCGCTCAGGCTGGGGGTGGGCCCGGGCGCGCGCTGGAGGGCCGCCGCCCTACCTGGGTGAAGAGGTCCAGGGCCTTGTGCAGGTTGGCGTGCATGCCCGTGGGCGGCTCGTTGGTGATCTTGATGGCGTTCTCCAGGATGCCCTGGGGAATGATGTGGGAGTCGGGGCTGGGGGCGGGCTCGGCGCTGATGAACACGCGGTAGTCCTCGTGGCTGCCCACGCTGTACCGCTCCACCTTCTTGTCCAGGGTGCTCAGCCAGCGGGCCACAAGGTGGATGTTCTGCGGCCAAGACGGGGGCTTAGCGCCCACACACGCTCCTCCCTGCCCCGGGCCCACAGGACGGGCCGCTCAGCTGCGTGCCCCGGCCGGGCTCTTCCCAACTGCCCCGCACGCCCCTCCCTGACGCCCACCCTCACGGGCGCCGGGCATGCAGAGCAGTGTCAGCGAAGCAGCCGCAGCCCCCGCGTGATTCCTCTGCTCGGTTAGCCCAGACGCCAGCCTTTACTGAGCGAGTCCCTCCCACCTTCTGCGGGCACGAGGCCGGCACTACACGGTCCCAGCCCTCCTCTGGGCGTTTTTACCAAGAGGTGACAGGAGAGGCCCCTGGGTGGAGGTCAGCCCCACGGCGGGGTTGGGGGAGCTGGGTGGCCTGGAGGTGCGAGTGGGGCCGCTGGAGTGAAGCGGGGCCGGGAGGCCGCGGGACCCAGGATGGGGGGCGGGGCCGCGCTGTGGTTCGCCCAAAACGTGACGCGCAGCCTCCCGGCCGTGGGCCTGGAGCGGGAGGCGACTTTGTCACTAGCGTTCTTGTGTTGGAAATAACATATCTTTAGGGATCTCAGGCGTAAAGCCCCGTGTCTTTCTCACACCCAAGAGCCCACGCTGTCACCCGATGGCCCCAGGCCACGCAGCTGGCCCCGGGCAGGGCGGACTCAGTGTGGGCTCCGCCTGCCTGTCTGTGACCGTGAGCCCATGCCCGCTGTCTCCCAGGCCTCAGGCCGATGCCGTGCCCCCCGGTGCTGGAGCCCCGTGCTGGAGGCGGCGCCCCCACCTGCAGAATGACCCAGTGTCCCTTCTCTGCGGCCACATCCAGGGCGTTCTCGGCCACCACCTCCTGCCCCTGCCCCAGGGACACGTTGTGGAGTTTCCCGTTGTCGATGGTAAACCCCAGTTTTTTCCCTAAAGGAAAGGAAAACGGGAAGAGCTGGGGGACGATCACATGACAAAGGCGCGCCTGGCTGGGTATTCCGCACGCGCCCCCCGCTTGTTTTCATTGCGGTAAAACGCACACCGCTCCCAAGTTACCGCTTTAAACAGCATCTTAACGTGCACGACTCAGGGACAAGCAATGCGGTCACCAGGCCGGGCAGCCTCTCCCCGGTCCCGGAACATTCCAGCCCCACCGCGGCCCCCGGCCTGCGCATTTACCGGTTCTGCGTGTTCCACATCAACGGAATCACATAACGTGGGGCCTCAGTCTCTGGCCTCGTGCCCTTGGCGTGTTTCCCAGGCTCACCCACGGGGCAGCGTGTCCGGCTCCGCTCCCTTTTCGGGCCGAGCGATATTCCGCCGTGCGGACCAAGCGCCCCGTGGTTACCGCCCCGCCAGTGGAGGGGCATCTGGGCTGCACCTGCCTGTCGGCTGTTGCGAATGGACATCCCTGCAAAGCGCCTGTCTGACCGCCCGCGTCAGTCCCTCTGGGGTCCGCGCCCAGGGCCGCGTTGCTGGGCGACGCGTGACTACCTGCGGCTCACGGCGGAGCCGCCCCGCCGTCTCCACGGGGGCAGCACCAGCGGGGCACCAGGGCTGTTTCCCCGCCGCCACCACTTTCTGTTGTGAACAGTAACCGGCCCAGTGGGCGCCAGGTGTCACGTCACTGTGGCTTTTTAAAAATTTATAAAAATGTTTTTACTGATTTTCAGAGAGAGGAAGGGAGAGAGATTGAGAGAGAGAGAAACATCGCCCATCGGCTGCCGGGGATCGAGCCCGCAGCCCGGGCACGTGCGCCTGACCGGGAATCGGACCGTGACCTCCTGGTTCCTAGGCCACGCTCAGCCACCGAGCCACGCCGGCCGGGCCCTGACCGTGGTTCGATCGGCATTTCCCGGCGACAGGCC